GGTCGAAACCGGTCGTGGTATCTTCTTTGATTCTTTCAGAAATGAATTCTGTCTGAGTCTCTAGTAACTAAGAAGGCGGTTGTAAAATTACTAAATATAATTAAATTTAAGTCGAGTTTCATATACAAATAATGGGATTGTAAAATATTTTTTATCGTTTAGGTTTGGAATGTGCTGGAGAAGTATTGGATATTGGTCCAAATGTAACAAATGTGAATGTATATATTCTGAAACAGAGATTCAAACTTCTTTTTGAATTGTATGAATTTACTAAATTTTGTCTATTCTAGCGTGGTGATCGGGTACTAGCTTTTTCTCGTTTTAATGCTTGGGCACAACAAATTGTGTGTAAAAAAGATGTTGTTTTTAAAATACCAAACGAAATGACATTTCGAGAAGCAGCTGGTTTTGGAATGGCTTATATCACTGCATATATTTTATTATTCGAACTTGGACAACTGAGACAAGGTCAAACTCTTTTCTTCCATTCGGCAGGCGGTGGTGTGGGAGGTAATTATTAAATTTTTTTATTTCTATTGCATACAGGATTGAAATTCTTCTTCTAATTTTAGTTGCATTAACACAGTTATCAAAATTAGTGAATAATTTAACTGTCATAGCCACAGCATCACGACATAAATTTGATGTGCTCAAAAATCATATACATTATTTATTTGAACACGATATTGATTATACAGAAGATATTAAAAAGTAAATAGATAAATTTCAATTTATATCGATGTTAATAAATATTTCAATTATCTCGAGAGACATGATGAGTTTTTACTGGGAATTTTGTTCTCTTGTTTTGCAAAGTGTGAGTCGCGTGATCTCGAGAACTACACAACGCAAAAAAGTTCTGAAAACACGAAATCGTTCTATGAATACCGAAAATTGGCCATTGTACATTCTTTTTCCAAAATTCACGTTGGAATCGGCGCTACAGGGTTTGAAAAGTGGAAGAAAACTGACTTTGAACTTAGAAATTTTTCATATATTAATTAATAGCTTCTTGTCCGACGCCATTTATTCTTCAACAGAAAAATAATTTTATCTTTCTCTTTCTGAGCTCTTTCATTACTTGTCTCTTTCTCTCTCACTTCTTCAAATTTCATTTCTTTTAAATCTATCTTTTAAAGCAACTAAGATCACAATGAAGGCGATGTGGTGAACCCCCTATTGACTGCGGATCGCTTCTGGCAGATTCAGATCGAATACAGTCGATCGACATCGTAACTTGTACGCAGCACAATTGCAATCTAGTTTTCTTTTTTGTTTAGTCATCATTTTTGCGAAATGTGCACCGCGTGATTTAGAGAATTACGCAACGTAGAAAAGTTTTGGAAACACGAAATCATTCTATGAGTACCAAAAATTGGCCATTGTGCATTCTTTTTCCAAAATTCACGTTGGAATCGGCGCTACAGGGTTTGAAAAGTGGAAGAAAACTGACTTTGAACTTAGAAATTTTTCATACATTCATTAACTTGTTGTCCAGTATCATTTATTCTTCAGAGAAATATAATTTTATCTCTTTTCTTTCTGTTCTACAAGTCTATGTGATTGATATTAAAAATGAGTCATTGTTGTTCCTAATCTCTGTTTTGTGCAGCTGAACCAGAGAATAACAGCGAAAGTGACGTAGTGGAAACCTGTTGGCTACGAACCACTTCTGACAGACTTAGGTGAAGACGAGTCTGTCGACATCACAACTTGTGCGCAGCACAATTCCAATCTAGTTTAATTTATTTTTTAGAATTTGTCCAGAAGGTATTGATTTAATATTAGATTGTATGGGAGGAGATGACTGTGAACGTGGTTTAAATCTATTAAAATTTAATGGCAAATATATTATGTATGGCATGTCGAGTGTTCTCTCTTGGAATATCAAAAATCTTTTTGGCATTACAAAAGGTCTTTCGCAGGTAAACAAATTTATTTTTAGCAATATTTGCATTCTATGAAAACTTTTGCATTTTTCTATTTAGTGGTGGCAAAATGATAAAGTTAGTCTCAAACGATTATTTGAAGACAGCAAAAGTGTTCATGGTTTTAATTTATTTCAATTACTTCATCGAAATGGTGGTACTATTGATACTCGACGATATATTGGTGATATTTTACAAAAACTTTTTAATCTATATGAAGCAGGAAAAATAAAACCTGTTGTTGATTCCGTTTACACATTTGAACAAGTAAACAAAATAAAAAAGAAATTCTATATTTGTTGACATTTCATTAATATATTATTTTATACTCTGTTTTGGATAGGTCAACAATGCTATCAGTCAATTAACCGAAAGAAAAAATATTGGCAAAGTTATATTAGAACCATTTTCTAATATCAAACCAGATAAGGTGAAAAAATTTAAGGAAACTCAGGTAAATTATTAATGACATTAGTCTAAATGTACTCTAATAAGAGGAAAATTTTCATTATCAGCTTTGATACTTCTTTTTATTTAAAGAAAAAAATAAATCACACATCAGAAGAACATTCGAGTCCCGAAACAAGTGGCCCAGATGATGATAATGAGGATAAAATTCAGCATAGTGATGGCGAACATGCTTGATTGAATTTTACAATTGTGAAAAAATTGACACAAGGTTGGTGTTAATCAACACGTGTATAATGAAGAAGCAAATAAACATTTTAAACAGCCTTGTTTTTAAATCGATATTTTTCTAATTAATTATTATTTGTCTCTTGTTCTATTTCTTTTTCTTTCTTTTTCTTTTTTTTTTTTGTCATGTTTACAGATACTTTTAGAGAGACCTCAGAGAACGTGAACAGTGTGTTGAATATCATCTTCAACATAATAAGCTATATAATTAGTGTTCAATGTTAGTTGTTAATTGTCATAATTTTGTGTATCTAAATGTTTATTTTAAAAATAATAGAATTTATGTTTTATTTTGTTCTCATGCCGTTGTTCAATCAACGTTCACATTCATATTACTTAATAGAAAGAAAAGAGTGATAATATGATACAGTAAAAGAATTTTGTGTGCTAGTTTTTAGGCTATGATAGAAAATTCATGTTGAATAAGATAACAAATGAATTTTCAATTTGTCAGTGTCTAACAAATTTTAACAAAAAATAATTTATGTTACAACCATTTACATAATATTTTTCAAAAAAATAAATATACAATCAAGAAGGACAAACAAATCTTGAAGCAGAAAAGTGTAATATCTACAATAGTCATATTGTCTACTCTTTATTTTTCAAAAATCAAAATATTACGGAAAAAATTTTATTCCTTTTTTTTTTGTCAAAAAGGAAATAAAAAAATATGATAAAAGAACTCTTTTCTTTGGAAAAAGTATGAAAAAAGATCAAAGGTTAGACTGAATAGAAAAATAGAGTACGAATTAATTAATTTTTACGCTGTTTAGAGAACGGAACTGAAAAGAGAACAATTCTGAGAAGAGATACTTTTTCACATTATGTACACAGTTTTAAAATAGAATTTTTCATGTGCACGCTTCTTCATATTTATACATCAATACGTAAATAGAAAAAGAAACTATTTTAACCAGACTTTCGAAAGATCAAAAGGATACCTTCGAGTTCCTCGAAGAATGAGACTTTGAGTCCTTGAAATAATTTTACAAGAGATTTGGAGTCTTATTTCGATTCCTCGAAAAATTTCAAATACTCGGTTAGCGAATGAGCTCAAAAATTGTTCCTCTTTCGTTCACTCGTCATATTCCTTCTACGAGCCGAGTATTCGAAGTTTTTCGAGGGATCAAACATAAGACTCCCATTCTCTTGTAAAGGTATTTTAAGGACTCAAAGTCTCATTCTCCAAGAGACTCAATAATGCTCTCAATTCATGGTTTTTCTACGTTTCTTTTCTACTAATATTGATTTCAAAAATAAAACAAATTGAAGACTTCTATAACTGATTAGTCCAACTGAATTTTGATTTTAATGAAACTTTGCGAACTAATATTAATACATAAAAATTAAAAAACTAAAACAATAATACCTATTAAAAAAATCTAAAAGGTAAAAATGATTAGAAAAACTTTTAACATTTAGTCGTAAATGAAACGTTAGATATATTAGATCTCAATTTTATCTCATAGTGAATTGACACTTAATTTGAACAAAAACTTGTGCTCAACAAAAGTACTCACTCTATCGTCCTCTTTCGCACTATACAACATATTCAAAGATAGTCAAACGGAATATTTCAAATATAAGTAGAAGAGCACTAATATCATTAAGTCTTTTCCACTTTGAATCATACAAAAAAAAAATCATGCATGCATTTCATCGATAAACATTCAAATTGCAGCATTATTTTTAATGTTATTTTAGTTAATGGTAGGTATGCAATAGTAACGATAACTTCTTACCGATAAAGTCGGTAAAATTTTCCAGTGAAAAACCTAAAAAATCACTTTTTTGTCTAATTTACACTTTTTCACTATGAAGGAAGCGTCTCTCAAAGTTGAATCTAGAGAAAGCTATGTTGATCGGCTTTTAGAAACCCGGTGCTAGCAAAGATGTTTAGGAAATTGAATTTGCTACTAAACATCCAGTAAAGTCGAGTCTTAGAAATGCTTCTTTCATGGTGATAATGGGATTTTAAATCTTTTTATTCATAATTTTACAATTTAAATGCGATAAATTAAAATTAAATAATGCGTCGAAGTCAACATAGCAAAGAAAAAAGTACAAGAATAAATAAAAAATGTCCAGAGAGCACCCTGGCCACAAACCCCACTTTCTAATAGATTTTTTTAGGAAGAGTCAAAAATTTTACCGGCTTTATCAGTGAGAATCGATAAATACGATAACGAAAATCGTTACCGTTTCATCCCTAGTTAACAGACAGTCAATCTAGTAGCATGCAGATCTTAACATTTTAAATAAGTAGAAAAAATACGGATTTATAGATTTAAAATTATCAAAATTAAAATAATTTTTCTGATTTAATCTCTTTTGTATGCAGCAAGAATTATCAATGTCAAAAAAATATTCGACACTACAGTAGGCACAGAAGCTAGGAGAAAATACTTAGACAACAGATTGATGGAACAAAAAGATGCTAAAGACGATTAGTCACAAAGTTGTAGAAGCCTAGGTAAGCGGTTTTAAGCATAAAACTAAACACTCTACTGTAAACGTACGATCAGATATATTAGAGCTGAATCTTCTACAATCTTCAACTGATACGTTTGCTTTTCCACTCTATGTTATTGTTTGTCGGAAATCAAAGAGTAAGTTGAATAAATAAAAAGTGATTTCCACATTCAAAAGTCAGAAATAGACGAATGCACGCTTTTTCAAGTCAATGCTTTGGATCACATAGATAGAAAAACAAAACAAAATTAATATTTTAGTAGACTATAAACAAAGTTTTCAACAGTCCTCGTTTTCTTCTTGTACAGCAAAAGATTATCTAAAGGCATTATCTGAGTCACACATTCTCGATGCTCAGATATACAGAAAAAACAAAAAAAAGTCAAATTCATGTACTCCAACAGGAAGCTATTTTTGAGTCTAAGTCCGTCAAAACATTTCTCGAGTCCAGATTTAGACTTGTCCATCTCAGTAAGTACGAGCATCAAATGGCGCTCACTCTAATAATCCTCAAACTCCCCTATATCTGTCAAAAGGAAAAAGGAAAAAAACAACAGAAGACGGGATAGGACTTTTTCTCTTTTACCCAAAAACTGACTCAGACTATGTCGTATCGTTATTAGGTTTAACGTCTCTCGATTTCTTTTTGAGTTAAACTTGACATAAATAGTAAAAGAAAAAATAATAAATTCATCAACAGAAGAAAATTTAACAAAAAAAAATGTATTTAGATATTTTGATTCTTTGTTCTTAACTACTCCAATAGCTCTTTTGTTTGAGTTTAAGAGGCCACATTTGCATTATCTTTCTTATCCTCTTCCACTTTTGAAAATACGTCAGGTAATGGTGGTGGTGTAGATAAATCCTAAATGAAAATAAACACTTTTGACTGATTTTTAATACTAAGATAATTTATAAACCGCATACGGCAATTTCTGGTTGTTCCCATTCATTCTCGTTTCCTTGTTTTCGATAACATAAATACAATAGTGCTGGTGAATGTGCTTTGGATGCACTACTGATACCACAATCGGATAATGTTTGATTATCATCGTCTAATGCTGTTGTATCAAGTATAAGACGTTGATTTTGCGCGGAAACTTTTGTTATCCCTTCAATCATTTTTTTCAATTCATGTATAGTTGTTGACTCTTTTCCATCCAAAAATAACGTTAATTTTTGTCGACGAATCATCAAGAAAACTTCCATGTTAAGTTTGGTTCTAGTATATAAATAACGGAAAGAAAAGATGTGTATTTTATGTTGATTTTATCTAGAATGCATTTTTTCAAAGAGTTAAAGTTCGGCGTTTATAATGTAGATATATGAAATGGAATTTGTATAACGAGAATACTAGCATTACATATGTGGTTCCAAAGAAGAATTAAAGACTGAAAACATTAAGGGATATAAAGAAACTGAGAGCAAAGTCGAATGAATTCAAGTAAACATAACATAGCATGATCATATGTCTTTATCACCTTCTGTGTGTCAATTTCTACTTACTAGTATTAAATTTTCCTTTACCTGTTTCGACGATCGTAATCGACCGTAATTGATCGTAAATCATCGTATTCTATGCAGACATAATCGTATACTATGATCGTAAAGAAAACGTTTACGACCGTATACGGACGGCATTTTATGATACGATTACATCTATCTATACTTATACGATTACGTCTACATAGAATACGACCGTATTTCGTCGCTTAAGATTGTACAAATTCGACCTGGGCATATCCAAAGAATAAAGCGTGAACTGATCACATGTTTTTCTTACTATTATCAATTTGGAAACAAAATGGGCGTGGTTGTTCTCTGAATAACTTTTGATCAGAAAAAGCTAGAGAACTTACAGTAACACTGGTTTTCTCAGATCAAGAAAACTGATTCTCTCATCAGTAGTTCAGTTTACTATAACAAAGTAACAGGTTTAAAATGCTCAAACCACTATCAATGATTTACAACGAAGATTTATCAAAAAACACACGCTAGAAAATTCAAAATTGGATATGAAATGACCAAACTATGGGCCAAAACAGACAATAATCCTCATATTCAACGCCTTATCTGTAACAGCACTACCTAACAAAAGCTTGAACTAATGTGAAAATTATACGAAAAGGTTAACTTTTTATGCTCTATTGGTTTAATACAGTTTAAATGAAAAAAGATACGTTTTTTTAAAAGTGCAAATTATGGACAAGCAAAAACAATTGTTTTTGACAATAATTAACCATTTTGATATGCTGAACATTCTTTGTATCAAAGATGTGATATTCGTGATCATTATGAGAAACTGAGTAGAATGATGTTGTATTCACATGTTTGGTACAATTTTGAGTTTTCGCCGAAAAATCAGACTGAAATGCGTCTCAGCAGAAGCCGAAAATGTTTTTATCACGATATTCAGCTAAAAGTAGCCACACATGTATAATCTAGCATATCAAAATGGTTAATTATTATCAAAAACAATTGTTTTTTGCTGTCCATAATTTACACTTTTAAAAAAAAATATCTGTATTAGTGCAATAGAGCATAAAAAGTTAACCTTTTCGTATAATTTTCACATTAGTTCAAGCTTTTGTTAGGTAGTGCTGTTACAGATAATGCGTTGAATATGAGGATTATTGTCTGTTTTGACCATGTTGTCATTTTTCGCCTATTATCCGAAGCTTTTCCCAAAGAACTACGAAAGATAAAGCACTTTTGTGCATATATAAGCGTTATTAATCGTTATTCATGCTTTTTAATAACAATGATATAGCTGAAATCATAAAAAATACAAAATACCATTATACAACGCAAACTTACTATCTTATAGATACAAAATCTCGAAAATCTTAAACATAAAAATTGTGAACAGCATGAGCAACTACATATAGTCCACCATGTTAATTCAAAATCTAAAAAAACTTCCCCCAATTCCTAAGGGGTATATCCTTAACTGGATTGTTTACAAGATATAAGAATTCCATTTTCTTCCAGTAAATGGTAATAACTCTTGATCCAAGGAGCACGAGCATTTTATTTTTTATCAAAATATAGCCATGATTCTACTGTATCTCTAGTGTGAATTTATAAGAGATTAGCTCTTAACTGTAATTGAAACATAGCACTTTTACATTCAATGTTGCATTTCTCAAAATAACTTTTAGACTATATTCTACCTGCGCTTATTATCGCCATAGGTTCCCTTAATGGTATTCTTACATCATTATGATATACATAAAGCACAGACGATATGTTAGAAAGGACGAACGTGTGTCGCTTTGTAAGTTGTTGTAACTTATATTACATTACCGTTTTATCATCCTGTTAGCAGCAACATTTACAAATCAAGACGAGAAATAAATAATAAAAAACTACGCAAACAACAAAATAAATTTTGTTATCAATAACAGAACATTCAAATTCGACTTTTATAAAAATCTCTTATAACCAAAAATGCGTTTTCGACAGATAGAAAATGAAAATTTTTTATACTTATAATAACATAGTGCAACAAAAAAAATTCTCAAAAAGTTCCAAAACCGCTTGAAAAAGAACTTTAATCTATAGAACAAACATCAATTTTGAGCTGAACTTCCTCCAACACCTCAAGTCTTTTTGCATTTTAGTCGAAGTTGAAGTGTCATTTAGATCGTTTGGGCGAGTAAAGCAAGTGATACAAGGTATAAATGATAGAACTAGACAATGTTCGTTCTGCACTAAAACTAGAGGATCAGTTTGCAAAGCACGAAAAACTTTCAAACTGGTAAAAATTCATGTTTAAACAATAAACATTTGGGAGTGTTCTGTTCACAGAAATGTAGTAATGTAACGTTTAGCATGCATGCCACAGCAAACGTGTAAAAATATCATGCTGAAAAAATACACAAATGACAGGCTATTAATATGAAATTAAAATTTGACAGAACACATTTGGTAAAAAATGGATCTTTTCTCAGATTAATATTAGTCGACATTGTCAACGAACTAAAAAATGTGAAAGAAGATGTCGCATTATCCGAGTTTTGCAAAAAATTATCGATTTATACACTTAATCTTGAATGAAAATATTACTAAACGAGCCCTCCGTGACTTTTATGACAGAAAGACTTTTAATTTCTTTTTTTTATTAATTTTTTTCTCTCTTCCATGCTTTCCATGTGGATCCACACTGTACCATTAAACTCTGTAAGGAACGACATCTATCGGTAAGGTAACGCAATATTATCGTGTTTTCTTTCCAAAACTTCTCTCGAGTACTTCTATCCAAAGTCAATTTGAGTAAAGACATACGATGATAGACGCATATCCACTTTCATTTAGTTTTCATTTACCATTGCTGAGCTACCAAAGTAAAAGAATGCTATCAATGGCCACTGCATTGGATAATTTACTTGATTTTCTAATCTTTTAAAAAAGAACTTATTAATCTCGCAATATTCTAAAAAGAGATATCATTGAAAAATCAGTCTGTTCTATGATTCAAAGTGCAATTTAACGCAAAATACAGTAGGCTTCTAGTTCTTAGAACCGCTTTGGAAGTGAAAGGAAACATTTGACTCAACAAAGAAAACAAAGAGTTTAAAGCAGAGGGTACATTTCTGCTAGCACATTTAAAGTGATCAATTCTAAGTAATGGAATTGTTTAGGATAAAGTTACTTATTACACTTTAAAATTTCGAGTCTGACGTATATTTCGTTTCAATCTAACAACTAAATCAATTTTCTTTTAAATTAAACGTTTTCAAAACAACAATCCATTGTTTTTTTCTACGAAGCTTCCTTTTTAGACACGTGAAAGTTTTTTCCGCCTTTATCCATCACCATTCAATGATCACTACTTATGAGATCTATCTATGATTATTTAAAAATCATATTTTTTATTCGTTGGAATAACTAATCACACATTATTCGAAATGGATTTTATTCCTGCACGTGACACAAGTGTTAACACAGTATTGGATCAATCACAAGGTACCATCTAAAATATCTTCGTTCTAGCAGGTATTTGTACTCTTATCTTTGTCTTTTAGGTCTAGCAAAGCGAATCTCAAATGAACGTCAAGTGATAGCTAAAATAGATCCAGGTGATCTTCAGGATCGATATCTTCGTTTGTACGATGATCATCAATTATTGAAACAACATGCGAGAAAACAAGAAGATAAAATAAAAAAGTTGTTTATCACGATCTTAATCATAGTAAGACTGTTGAACCCCATTTCTTTCTATTCAGATTAGCCACAAAATTAATGAAGGTCATTGATGATAAAAAGAAGTCAGAAGGCGGAATTGGAGGTTCGAGTCGTCATCGCATTATGTCGTATTTTTAACTGAACGTAGTCTATTATTAGGTAAAATTGGACGAGATAGTGAAATAGAAAATCAACTTACAGAATACAGAAATAAAATATCAGAACTACGAGAACAAAACAAACTTTTAAAACAACGAGTAAGTGTCTAGCTAATGAGCAGAGATAAAAGATTCGTAACTCACGTATCATAACATTCCGTAATCATACGAAGTGTAGCTGGAATGATGATTGTCTGCGAGGTTTCAGATACTCACTGCTAATTGTTTGTGAGCTACATAATATTTTACAGGATTTTTTTTCATTAAAAAAAATAATCACTTATCACTCTACAAAACTCCCATTCGTCGCTGTTATCTCAAGGAGTTTCATGTCTTAGCTCCAGTTTCATAACAACACGGTCTATCGTTTTATGTTTGACAGGTCATTCTTGCAAACAATGACTTCTGTGTGACAAACTATTTTTACTAGTTAAAAACAATGCTTTGGCTTGAAATTTCTATAAAAACCATTATGATATATTATTAGATTTTTTCACACTAAAATTCTCAAAATAATATGTCATACATTTTCATGAAAAACAATACCATTTCTGATTATCAAATGTCAATGTAAAACATTTCCTTTGTGTTTAAACATTTATTCAATTTTTGCACTTAAGATGTTATAATTCACAAACTAGTAATTATTAGGGTCTGAAACTTTATAGACGATAAGAATTCCACATAAACTTTTCATGACTATGAGACATCCTGGGTCTTGATGTACGAGACTGACAGTTGTTCTGTATGATACGGTATTTCTTGTACTTACAAAAGTGTGTTTAACGTAGGTCATAGTATCACAACAACAAATTCAAGCTGCACAACAAATGAAAAAGCCGACCACCGTTTACGACAGTGTTTCATCTAGAATCGATACGGTAGTAAAGAAAAAGTCATAAAACAGTCTGATTATTAAATGAAGCTATTCTATTTGTTAAAGGGTCTACAAAAACGAATACCTTCGCCGTTATTCCATAATTTAAGAGTCATCGGTCCAAGAGAATCTATGCGGTAAGTTGCAAGTAGAACGAATAATCTGAGAATATATTTTATGTTGATATTTCAGTAATTATGGTACAACACCAAGAATGGGTGGATCGCCTATAGATAAATCAATTTTGGATGATGCTCGGATGACAAATAAACAATTGTAAGAATATTTATCATTTCTCTTATACTAAAATCTCTTATTAGATTTGAATACAATCATTTACTATCGAGAAGGAAATATTTTCCATAATTACTGTAAGATGAAATCAATATCTCGATGTCGATTTTGTTGATTGATGTCTTCTCTTCCAAATAGTTCAAGGTAGCAAAAATTTTTTTAGAGAAGAATCACTCGAGAAAGCTCAACAAGAACTCAATAGTTATGAACAACAAATAGATTCATTACGTCAACAATTAAACTCACGCGATGCTGATCATGAACAAAATTTAATGCGTTTAAAAGCACAAACAACAGGAGAATCGCGAACAAATTTACAAGAAAATATTGATATGATACGTTTACAACGTGATTTGCGAGAAAAGTCTGATGAATCAAGACGTCTTCAGACACAATGTTCGAATTTAGAATCGGTATGTATATGAGTAATTGTTAAAATAAATAACAAATATGTTTATTTTTTTTCGTTTTTCTATAGCAAAATCAAAGTCTGCAAATGACAAATTCAGAACTATTAAAAGAAATTGATCGACTCGATAGACAGATAAAAGATGAACAACAACGTGCTGTACAATTGAGAACAGAATTGAGAAATGGGTCAAGATCAAATACACTCATATATGAAGTAATAAACTTGACAGATTATCGTTTATAATAAATTATATTAATCTGTTATTTTTATTATAGTTAAATGCACAAATTGATGATTTACGTCGTGAATGTGAAGTATTAAAAGAAGCGAATACAAAATTAGTTAATAGTGCATTTAATGCAGATCGTGAACGAGAATTTCGAGAAAAAGAACGTGCATTAAAACTTCAAATTGGTATGCTGTTTCAATGAATTTCATATGATAGTCATTAGTACTTTCGTCATCTCTTTTTTTTTGCAGCACAATTAGAGGCAACATTAAAAGCTGATTTAGGTGAACGCGGTACATTACTAGATAGGCTTACGCTAGAAAAAGGTATATATAATTGTTATACATTCTTTTTAAATTTGATCTTCTTTTCTTTTTTTACAGAATCAAATAAAAAGACCGACGATGAACATCGAACAATGCATTTAAAATATTTAGAAATGAAAGAAAAATACGATGATTTAGCTGAAAAATTACGATTTTTTGAACGAGTATGTATTAGAAAAACAAATTAGCTAATTCTACTGTATTTTACCAAAGTAATATGAGTTTTTTCTTTTTATTTAGGAAGGTGATGTGAATATGAAAGAAATCGAAGAAGCATTGATTATTCTCCGACAACGAAAACAAAAACAGGAACCAAATTTTGACTTTTTACAAAAAGTTGATGAAGAAAAAGGACAAAGTATGATCGATAGTACAAATCTATAAACTAAATTATTAAATTTATCTTTTTTTCATAAATAAGATTTACAACATCGTTTACGTGAACTTGAAAGTCAATTAGCTGAAACATCAAATGAGTTAGAAAAAACAAGAAATTTATTATTTATGCAATACAAAATTAATCGCGATTATAAACTTGAGGTTAGTCTCAGATACTACAGTTAATGACATACACAATTTTTAAAAGATAGATTGCTGAGAAGGGATTATTATGCCAGGTTCATTTCAAGATATATGTAAAGTTTATTAACAAAGGTTGCAATAGAAAAATAGAATAAAATTAATCGTTCTAATCCAAATAACTGAATGTTAACTGCATAACACAATTTTGTTTTTTTTTTTGTTCATTTAGGTTGATTGTATTCAAAAGAAAATGGACGAAAATCAAGCCGATTTTAGTAGTCGAACGTTGGAACACGGTCAATTACTTGATATTCGTGCAGATCGCATTCGAAACTTAGAAAAACAACTACGTGATGTTGCCTATGGTACTCGACAATATCGTGTTCAAGAATATCCATCACAATCGGCGATAGATAATGATTTTATCGAAAATGCAATTGAATTAGAACGTGGAAAAAATTTAATTGAAATTCATTTGAGTCGTGGAACATTTAGTGATAAAGCATTAGAGTATTTAGGTAGCGGAAATGATCCATCAACATTTTGTTCAATTGAATTTTTTGAACATGAATTACAAATCACACCAATTGTTAAAGGACGAACGCCAGAATATGATTTTACCGCCCAATATATTGTTAATGTTGACGATTTTCTCTTGTATTATTTACAAAAAGAGTATACAGTTGTCGAATTACATCAGGCTCTAGGACAAACATATCGTACTGTAGCCGTATGCAAGTTAAATTTAAAACAGTTAATTGAAGGTAGTCATGGACGACTGCATTCAACAGTAAAATTGACAGGAAGTAATGAAGACAACATGGATATAATGAATTTTGGTTCAATTGAATATTGGGTAAGACTACAAGTACCAATGGAACAAGCATTTCGATTGTTGAAAGAAAGAATGAAAGCACAAGGTTACCTGGTGACAAACAAACATCGAACAACAGCTCAAGAAAACGGATTGGATATGAATGAGCAGCAGACAATGTCAGAACAAAATATGAATGAATTGAATATTGCCATATTAAATTGTTCGAACGTTAGAGCGACTAGTCAAGGTATGCAAAAATGAAGTGTGTATAATTATATGTATTAAATTTTTTCATTATTTAGATCGACAACCAGATTTATATTGTGTTTATAAATTTTTTAATTTTACTGATCGTGATACGGCTATACGTCCATCATCAAATAATCCAAACTTTGATGATAGAGCAAGTTATCCCGTGCATATGGATGCTGATTTAGATCGTTATTTAAAAAATACACAATTAACAATATTTGTGTTTGATGATAAAGAACAAATACCCGAACATTATGCGGCACGTGCTGATATTCCATTATTACCATTGTCTCATGATAATGATATTAAAGGTACGATCATGCAAATAATCCTTTTTCTTTTGTTTTTTGCATACTTAATTATAGAGAAAGCTGAAAAATATCATAATTTAGGCACATTTGATATGCGCGATCACGATGGAAATCGAAATGGCACAATGGATGTCATATTAAAGTGGACAAATACTTATATACCCCCACCATCTTCGACTAGAACACCAGCTCAAAAAGCAAAAGGTTACGCATCACCTCGAGAACCATTAGCTTTAATGCCATACGAAAATGCAGCATCGGCACAAACAATTGCTGAAAAAGCAAGAGAAACAAATGTAAGATTAACATCACGTGATATTATAACAAATCGTCCGCATTCAGATACAGAACAAAATAATTATGATCGACAAAAACCTGGTACGTTCTAAAGAACTACAGTACTAAAGAATTTACTGAGAGTAGATAGTGTACGTTTGACGTATAACAAACACATATCGAGAGAAAATCGATGAAGGTCGCATATTCGATGGGGAAGAAAAATGCTTTAGTTTTGATTATAAACAACTGGGAAACAAGAAAAGAAATCTGTTGAAATAATTTCTGAGAAAATACAACTCGTTTTCGTTTGAGAGTGTGTTTTTCAGAGCTGATGATCAGTTTTCATTGTTATGGAGTTGACGTTGGAATCTGCCTTTGCCTGTACCTTTATTTTTTGTGTACAGATATACCAAGAAGTAGTCATGGAATTCCAGCATCAAGTAGATCTCGACCAACAGACCCTCGTTTGTCTAATACTCGCCCTCCAGTAAATGTAAATAATAATCATAGTGGTAAACGATCATCATCTGCTGGCAGTGGTAGTAGTAAGCGAGGTAAATCATTGTTTGAACGATTTTTGAGTATAGAAATCAAAACAAACATATCATTTTAGTTAGTTTTGACAATCCAGACGACAATTTTACAAATGAGCCTCCTCGATTTTCAACAGAAGTATGTTCTTTGCTATTTAATAAACAATTAGCTACTGCTATGTTAATTTTAGAATCAGTCAATTGATGATGAAACATCTCGCCCTGCTACACCAGGTTGATAGCTATAATTATTTTCTTGACACAAATATAAAGTTTTAATTTATCTAGAATCGATTCGAGATGAAACCACAAACAGAACAACGATGCCCGATGAATCTGATCCTGACATTATTTATCAAACTAGTATATCACGTCAGCCAAATACAAAGGTTAATAATGAGCAAGCATTTCTTGTTATTCTACAAAGAATTGCTTGTTTAGAGAGACAATGTGACTATTGGTGTCCATGAATTAGTGTTAAATGATAAATGTCCGATATTTGATGATGAGAATTGTGAAAAAGTATTTGTCAGTGTAGAATTTTTAAATTATACTGAAGAACTCGAAACACCCTATTCATTACAAAAACGTGATCCAAATGTGAAATATAGTTTCAATTTTCAAAAAGGTATCAGGCATAAGTTAGTTTTTTAATCTAACTAAAATATCCAATTCGTTGTAGATTGTCCCGTTAATGATAGAGAACAACGTCAACATTTGGCAGATCTTATTGGACCAGGTGCTTCCGGAGAGTATGTAAATATTCTAAAGATGATTCAAGCCTAATCGTTTTCGAATATTTAGTATCAAATTTGTTGTCGTTGGTGAACCACCGGAAAATAAACAAGATCTCGATTGTGTCGATATTGGCTATGCACGTGTAAATGCCAAAAAATTGTTGCGCAATGAAACGGATATTGTCGAAAAAAATATTGACGGTAAGACACATGAAACAAGATCTCTCTGTCGCATTAAAAGTTCTAACATGTTCTCGCTAGGAAAGGATTCTCCAATTCTACTTGTTCACTAACTGATGTTATGAACTTTCTTTTTCGTCAACTAACATTTATTTTAGAGATCACATGCTAAAAATAAGTCATTATATACTGTTTTTGTAGTTCATGACGTAAACAACGATCAAGAAATCATCGGCCAAATGAATGTCACCGTAGAGATTGTTCAAGCATTAAGATTTGTACAAAATCGAATGCAAGAATAAGTTTTCTGGCAAAACTTATTCTGATTTGAAAATAGTTTAGGACGTTTTACGAATGACATGTAGGATGGCTATCTCAATGAATAGCGTTGAGGATCTCCTTTGTTTCGCATATTTTCAATTTTGTTTTTCTATAATTGTTCAGATAATCAACGCCTATAACAGGCAGTTTGTCTTTGTTCAATAATTGAATGTTCCTATTAGTTTTAGTTCCAACATTCTGAATGACCAAAAAAAGGATTAATAACTAGGACGTAGCTTTGGATATTGCTCTTTGTTTAGTCTGATCAATATTACGCTTTGTTTCATAAGGCATTATATTTGCGCAAGTATAGCAATCAGTAATTTTTAGAGCAAAAACACTTATGAAACTTACAATGACCTTTAAATGTTTTATTTTTTATTTTCTTTGGTTTTTATAACACTGGCTTATCGGTTTCTTTAACTTTTAATCAATATACAGTCTTTGACAGATAAAAATCAAGATCGTACATCTTTAGATCCTGCTTCTGTAACCTTTACGTAAACAAGTTTTGTTAGAAGAAATTTAGAATTTTCAATACTCGTTTTGTGTGTAGATAAGAGAGGAAAATTACAGTTGTTTTTCTATTTTTGTGCTGTTTTCATCTTTGTATATCAAATAAAAAGAACATGTAGAAAAAATCGACTCACAGCAAGCGAAAGCGGATAAAACCAAACGGAGACAAACAGCCTTCGAGAAACCTACGTACTGTTTAGAATGAAACCTCAGCTACACAAGCATTTCTTCAGACATATATGTTTGAGTAAAATTTTTGCTGTTGGTCATCTTTATGAAATATTTTTATTAAAAAAAAAGAGAAAACAACAATATCTAGTAGAGAAAAAGGGAAAAGAAACGAACAAGTGAAGAGAAGAACGCAAAAGTCTAATAAATCCGGTCGGCACCCACACATGTAACAATACAGAGCCACAAATTTTGTCTTTATTGTAAATTAGGCAATTTTGTAGCTCAGCATTTACCGTTACAGTTAAAAATAGAATGACTTACGGAGAGGGAGCACAAAACATATTGTGAGCTTCACTCATACTTTATGTGTATGTAGATTCAACAGACAACCGAGAAAAACAAAGCAGCAAAATAACAAATATAAACAAAGAAAAGGGATGTTTATATAGATGATGTTTCTTCGAAACGAAAACAAGATGTTACACAAACAGATATTTACAGAAAAAAAGTAGTCCACTAAAATGTAGACAGTAAATATAAAAAACAACAAAACACATAGAAGCTTCTAAATGCAATTAGCCGACGACAGCTAAAGAGAAAAAAAGTATACACACAATAGTTTTGGTTTAACTACAATAATCATTAAATTGCAATAGATCAGCGAAAATTACGAAAATAATAGTCACAAAACATTATTATCCTGTTGTATAATGACTTACAAAACGCACAGTAGAAAGCAAACATCTCTATTACAGATGATTTCTGTAATAAAGCAATCAAAAGTTTAAATAATTCACCTCGATACCATGTAATGATTTTTATATCGGTATACCACAACAAAGACACCGTGGTATAATCTTTGTTAGTCCAACAGCCAATCATCATTCAGCACACATTCACAGAACGTTATCAGTTCAAAGTTAAACAAGGACAAAGTGCAGAAAAACGACATATATGTAATAGGAAAGAATATGTAATTCCAGTTATTTCATTTCATTACACATGCACACCGGGCTGATGTTTCTCAATGAGTTGCATTCATTTATGCGTTTGGTATTACTGTAATGTCATCATCATCTCCATCTTCGATCGCATGAATATCAGATGATTCAGTTTTTATTCTTTTTCCGATACCATTCATCTGTGGTGTGTACGGTGGTTGATGTGGCGTGATCGTTCGTCGTCGTTTTGATTTTAGTGATGCTATTGAAGTATCTCCATCTTCATTAATTTTGTTTGTCATCGATTTTTCATTTAACTCTTTTTTATACCATTTTGATAATAAAGCAAGTTGACGTTTTAATCTATGTAAACTTTCATTAGTTGTTGATGTTTCCGTTTCATTGAACAATTTATCATTTATGTCAATATCATTTTCAAACCAATGTGAGTTTTGAATAATCAAATTTGGATGAGCAAACAAAAAAGTGTAAAACCAATAAGCAGGTATATCGACATGTGTAAGATTTAAATTTAAACATAAAATGTGTTCAAATCTTGTAACAGCAGCGTTTAATGCTTCATCAAACGTTGGTAATGTTTTATTGATACTTGAAATTGACTCGAGCACTTCCTGTTCTTCAAATGGTGATAAAAAGCCCGTTCGAATATCATAACGATGTCCACTTAAATTTAATGACGATAATGAACGAGATGTTGAATTTGCTATTGTTGCTGGGGTAGAAGATGTTACAGCATTGCTTGTGAATGAAGATGATGTCATTGTTGGTTGTGACTAAAACAAGAAAATAATTTATAAAGAAGTAAAATAAAGTATATAAGGGATAAATCACGAAATAAAACTAAATGTAACAAAAAATTCATGTCATATTCGAGAAAAGAATTTGGCATACGGTCCATTTCTAAAGATAACATCTACACCATTAAAACTCAATTAGATTTCTCAACATTTAATTGCTAACTGCCGCAAAACTTAAGGACTAAGTTGACTTAGAATGATTTATGTACTTGTCAGTTGTTGCATGCACAACATTCAATTCAAAATAACGAAATTACAGAGGTATCTACCTGCAGGGAGACTGACTCATCTTTTACTGGGTTTGACAGTTGTGATCGACGAGCAATGAACTTTTTTGTCACAGTTGGACTGACGCTTTGAAATGTGTGAAAATCATCAGTAGCACTTGATGAAGGACTTAGTCCTGATGATTCTATTTGATTATGGGTTGAATGATTACTTTGTGGCATTTGAACTAGTTTCTTTATTACACTTTTCGATGGTTGTTGTTCATTACTTTTCCTTGATGTTGATGATTTTGTGTCAGTCACTAGCGGTATTGAATCGACCGAGTCAGAGGCAACTGCGTTCACATTATTTCTTAGAGCAGCTCTAACTGATGGGCGACGTTGTTGATATGAGACAGTGCTTCCGTTGGCCGTTCTTCCGACAATTGTTGTTGGTAAAGAATTTTTTCGATTATTTCGTCGTTTTGTTGCTGTTGTTTCATCTGGTGTACTTATGGTATTGTTTTTTGTATTTGAATTTCGACCACGTTTACTCAGTGGAGTTTCTTGATGGTTATCGTTAAGCGGATATTGTTGAGATTGTTGTTGATCGATTGCTTTCGGTGAAATTTTATTATGAAGCGGTAACGGTTTTGATATATCGGTAAATGAATCGACATCATCATCTTTGAATTCAAATGTTTTCTCGGCTTTTTCAGCCAATGATGTTTTATTATCCAGTAACGTTAACGATTTATCTTCTAATTTTGATATTGTGCTAGGTGCTGCTGGTGTTTTACGTTTACCTCCTTTTGGACCTATTAGAAGCAGAACGAGCATCGAAACTATTGTGAGCTACGAACAAGGCTAGAATTGTACACTAACCAATTTTTTGTGTATAAAAATCAAACTTTGGTTCCATTTCTTGTAATCGTTGTTCTGCCGATTGGTTTAAAGCGTCGTTAGCTTCACTAACAGCCATTTCCCAATCATCACGCCTTCCAATTGTTATTTTTAATTGGAAACGTTCCGTTAGTTGCTCTTTCATCGATTTAGTTTGTGCCTAAAATGACTTGACACAGTTAACATCAATATAAACACGAGAAGAAATTATCAATACCTGATCGACAACTTCTTGTGCATATTTTGTAAATTCTTCCACACCCTTAAAATAAATAATTGATGAGTCACCTAACCACGCAAAATCAGCTGTTGAACCATAAAATACGACAAAGTAAGATCGTTTTGGCCGTTGATTACCTTGAAACGAAAAACACATATCAGAAGAAGTACAGGCAAAGAGGGAGATCGTTGATCCATGTGACGATAGTTTAAAATAAAGACTCATAGCAGTCTCTAGTGTCAAGAAAGATTGAACAGATGATCGAGAAAGCAAATTCAGTTCATTTTTACCAATGAAATATGTTCTACAGTGACTTTTAGAAAAAACCGTTGGAGATCATCTGGGCTTTGTCTTCAACTTACTCAAGAATCCGTCTCACTCCATGAATTACTCTTCTTTTTTTCAGCAAGATAGAACACAAACAATTTCAGAAGAACATGCTTGTTTAATAAACAACACAATAAAAACGCACCAACAATTTTTGTATGTGACTGTTGCGGATCATTTGGATCTGCAACAACAAGACATGGCCACCATGGAGAACCAGAAACTTTCCCCCAAACTACGTCGGCTATTTGATATCGAATTGGTACACTACTGCTATCATTTTCCGTTGTATAGTTTCGTGGAGCTTTTACTTTTGCAATATGATTTGTCGCTGTTTCAGTTGTTGATTGATGTTGTGGTTGTATGCTTAATTCATTATATTGCATCGTTTTTCGAGTCTGTCGTGAACGGCGCGGACGGCTGTTTGTTGCTGGTGGAGAAGAAACAGGTTGTGTTTCCACTTTCGGTAGTTCAGTACCTTTTGCCCTTCGTCCTCTTCTGGCTGGTGGTTGGGTAACTTGTGGTGGTGATGACGATAAGACAGATAATGCTCCTAATGGTTCTTTGTGTTCGGAATTAACTTGCGCTGTTGTGTCCGTAGCCAAACCATCCAAGGAAGATTCGACTATATCCAGTGAACCAATCTCTGAATCTACACAAAAATATAAAATATTAACCAAAGTTTAACAGAAATAATTTATTTTAAATAACCGTACCTTTTCCCTCTTCTTCATACGAGGATGAAAAGTTGGCAGCACTAGTGGCAGTCATCTAAAAATAAATATGATACTACAGAATAGCAATAATATATGATTGAAACGAAAATGAAAACTTGTAAAGTACAATAGAATAAATGGCTTAGAGCGAATAAGTAATAAACCAATTAAAAACTAAACATATCACTATTCTAACAGATATAGTCAAAACTGAAAGTTAGTTCTATTACGGTCTTTTCGGTTTTCATGTAATTAAATAAATTATTCTTGCCCAAAAGTTTTAGATTATGAACAACGATAACTGTTCAATACAATAGTTTTTCTACTGGAAAACCGCCTTAGAAGCGTAGTAATTCTAATTTACACTTCCAGTACCATATCTCGTAACAGAACTCTAAAACTTTTTTCTCGAATAGCATTTCTAACGAAGTATGTAATCGAATGCATGCTTTCAATTGCAGTAAACTTGCGCTGTAGTATGATCGCATTGTGTCGCTCAATGCGGACGGCTCGCAATCCCAACAGCACAAATACACACAATTGCATTTGTGACAGAGCAGATGCGCTGCTGCAATCCCAGCAGTGCAAGTATACGCAATTTTCACTCACGCTACATTGCGCCACAAGTATTAAAAAATCCACGGTATGGGAAGTGGAAGAGATCACTTTTATCTGAATTCCAAGATGACACTTTCCACTCTACATAGTGCGACAGAATTTCTTACAAGGAGCATTTATAAAATAGCTTAGGCTCTTAAGACAAATAAAATTGTTATTAGGTTTCGTACTGATCATTTGTGAGAGAGACTAAGCGACGAACATCAGCCATTAGAACAAAAGCACTGCAGATTAGAAAAAAGCGAAATGAAAGTTTTTAAGCAAAATGTTTTCACTATTTTCAGAATAAAAAATAGAATACAAATCGGTTCTTGCAAAATGGGTGATTCCACTTTGCTCTCAAAGACAGAAATATAGAACGAGATTTGGGAAGACCTTTCACTCCAAATGGCCACTATCAGTACTCACTGAGCGATTTTTTTAAAATGATGCACAGGAAAAGGCTTCAACCCGTGATTACGCTCTACATATCTACGCTCCTATTCTACTTCTGATCCTTTCTTGCCTTAGCGTGAAAAGACATTAGGCGAGTATAACGTAGTAAAAACATGACAAAGAAAAACGACCATTTTTTACTGAAAGCACAGAAAAAGGGCAGCCATTGAAATAATACTTCATTCGAAGGAATGTTCATTGAGACGAATCTTTCTTACATATCGCACACGTTAAAGTTTATTTTGTTATTTTTAGTAATTTAAATGACTTCTGTCAGTATGTCTACTGCTAGTCGTCGATTGTAGCTAAATGCATAAATTGATTAAGAAAAAAACTGAAGGTCGTTACCTAGTAACTCTAACAATAACACAGACAAATGAGAGTAGGCGCATTTCATATGTATTCCACGACTATCATATGGGACTTCATTAATGGAAATGTGATTATTTTTTCAGCACTTTGCGTGTTGTTCTCATGTAATTAAGTCTCAGGAGAGGAATATTAAAGTACACTAGGGCTTTTTTTTACAACAGATTATAAGTAAATCTTTCGCATTGTTTCATCGAACTTTTGGTATTTAAGAGGAAAACATAACAAGTATCTAAACCCTGTGATTATTTGAAGTTTAATTAATGCTTTTAGATATATAAGTCTTAAAAAGCAAGCGATGACGACTATCGAATTTGGAGGAGGTCCGACGTTAAAAGCGCGTAGGCAATTTGCTAATCTGAAAGAAGGTTCTCACGTGCCAAAGTAAGTCAAGTATGTTAAGAATTTGTTCTGTGGCAAGGTCGTAAAAAATGAAAGCTATATAAAAAGAACAATTTGTCACGGGAAACTATTTTGAAGCAATTTAGAGTTTTGAGTGAAATTAACTATATGAATTAAGATATACTGGACACATTCATCAGATTCGGTTTCGACAAGGACATACTTATGGCGAGCAAACACATCAGCTGTATAAAGAATATCCACAATTATCACGTTCAAAATCTGATTTACCAATAAGCGAAAAAAGGCAATTGCAAGAACAAAAAGCACTTGAAGACCCATATGAGACACATGAGTTCCCAGATGGACTGCTTCCAGGCTACACTGGTGTGTATTATTGCAATCAAGTTCTTCATAAGATTTCGGAAGTATTTTTTAACGTTCTTTAGGTTATGTTCCACAACGCAAATTTCAACATGGCGATCGTTATCGAGTTGAGACAGACGAATGTTTAGTAAACTCAAAAAAAGAGTACGACGATGCCAAACAGAAAATCAATGATTTACAACGAACAATTGCTTCTTATCCAAAACCATTAAGTCTCAACAATGATCGAACTGTTAAACATTTTCTAGACTATCATCGTGCCTATCATCCAAATGAAATATCAACAACGTGTAAGTATAAATGATTCAGCTACAATTTATTACATTTGATTAAAGTTATCTTTCAACATAGCTGATAGAAGATTGCTAACCGAGCCACCAATACCCGGTTATCAGGGTTATATACCTCGAATTCGACCAACAGAGCTTGGTCTAGGAGCACGATATCATGAAACAACGAGAAAAGGTTTAAATCGTTTTGCATTAGAAACTCAGCATTCAATGACAAATTGGCCCATTTCGCTAGCAGATACAAATAATTCTACGGCAGATCCTAATTTGCAAGAGTAAGTGATTTACATTTATTTCAAAGAAAAACAAGAGGTTATATCAAGGTAGTATAAAGTTTTTCATCAGAGTTCTACAATTGTTTTTAGTAACGATTGAATAATCAATAAAGATATTGTTTTGGAGATTCAACATCTATTAAAGTTAGATTAGCATTTGCTTTGCTTTAACATTGTTCTGTCAACAATAGTTCTAGATTTTTAATTGAATGTGTCGTCTTGTTTGTGCATGAAACTGTATATTATTATTAAATAGATATAGTTATTTTAGTTGCACCTAACCTTCACTATATCTTAAATTCATTGATAATCGTATGATCATTGAATTAATTTCTTTTCAGTTCAACGTCTGACTTAAGAATGCAAACGCCAAGAATTAGTTCAGCAAATAGATTGTATGTCAAACCAGGAATGATCCCAAAATATACGGGCTATTTACCACGTATGTTCTTTCTTTTGTACAAATATAATTTATCTTACTGTTTATTATTCTAACTAATGACGGTTGGAACAACAATTCTTCTATTTTTTATATGAAATGAAATCCACAATAGGAAATAAAATTACATTGCATTTCTATTTGTTTTTCAAGAACGAAAATATCATATTGGACACACGTATGGTGACACAACCCGTTCATTACCTGTATGTAGTCATTCATTTTCGAATTATGCTGATTTTATACGTTCAAAAACATTTATTGAATCAGTTGATCATAACAAAACAACGGCAGACATTTATTAGTTCAATGAATTCAAATTTTAAATTTATCTTATGCAAAGAACTCTTACTGGTGACTTTATATTTATATTCTCAAAACTTTCATATCACCAAACTCAGTTTCGAATCTTTTTTTCGTTATTCTTCACATTTAGAGCTTAAATTATTTATATATGCTTCTTCTTAATCAGAATATTTTTGATATGCATTTTACAATTATTTATTATTCACCGGTTTGCTTTTATTTTTCTAATAAATTTACACCAAACGAAACAAAACGACAGAACTCTATATCATACAATGTTTAGAGCTCTTTAACTCTTAATAAACTAAATTAAATAACAAATATTATCCTGTCTTCTGAGAGGTTTCAAAAAAAATAATAATTTCCCATAATAATGTGGGAAACAATATTATAACACTGAACATCTACATCCTTTTCAAAATAAGAGACACTCGAAGTTTGCTGAGAAGTGAACTTATAGTCACATTTTAGCTTTATTTCGATTCTAACATTAGCTAGGACAGATCAAAAAGAGCAATTTTTTCACACAATTTTATTTTATCAGTTTCGTAGAGCTTCGTTTGTTATCTGAGTAAATAATACTGGCCAAAATTGTGTCAATTCAATAGTTGAAGCTTCTTTTTGAAATGCCTCCTTAATTGATTGTTGAACCAAATTTTTTGCCAACAAAGAACGTTCGTGAATTATCTTAAAATTAAAAAATAGACCAAATTCAACTTAAAAGCATAAATAATAGATGAATAATACTTACAGGATTCAATTTTTCAGTTGATAAAGAATTTGGACTTTCGACAGCATTTGGAATTTTATTAGAAGTCATCAGATTTCTTTGTGGTTGCATACTTGATGTTGTTCGATTTAACACTTGTGGTGCAGTTCTAATAAATATTGAATAATGAACATCGTACATCGATAATTAATCGAAAACAAATAATTGAAACAGTCGTACCTATTTAAATTTGTTGTATTCGTATCAAATTCTGTATCGCTTCTTTCACTCTGTGAATCTTGTTGTGACTGTGAATTAGATTGATTTTGAAATTGAGCCAAATTGTTTCGCTCTATATTATTTATATTTGAATCAGACGTGCTCGCTTTTGTCAATCCAGGTGGCGCTTTCAAGCGTACAACACGATTTATGCGTTGATCCTAAACAAAAATTACTGATTAATATGATTTTATTGTGAATTTTAAATAATTATACAAAAGAAACTGTTTGACGTGGTTGTTGTTGTTCATGTGGTTTAGTACCGTTTGTTGACTGGGATAAAATAATTTGTTCATAAGCAGCCGTAAATGCTAATGGATTACCTTCAAGACTTAAACACTCTAATAGTGTTAATTTTGATATACAACGAATATCGTCAAATCTAAAAGAAACTCATCATGATGGTACGATATTTCTGGCAACTTTACGATTTTCATAAAGTAACTGCTACTGAAAGTAAATACTTTAACAAAGTCCAGCTATTCACCATTATTGAACATTTTAATGACATTTACCGTCTGATTTTGTTGAAACTTAAAAATAGCCGTTGAATTGGCAATGAATCAAGATCCGTCTAGAAAAACTCTTATAATCAATAAATGGTAAATCAATAGGCAGTGATTTTTGTAATTAAATACCACTGATGTAATTAGATTTCCTTGCAAATTCAATTCAACTAAATTTTGTAGACTTTTAATATTTTCACATTTTTCAATTCGATTAAATGCCAAATTCAGCACTCTCAATTGTGTTAAGTTTTTACAATTTTCAATTCGAGAAATCTTAATTAAAATTTTACATTTCTTTCCTCAATTAAAACTAATTTTTCAGTATTACCTGATTTCCATTTAAATCTAAAACATCAAGATTTCTAAGGTTATCTAAATTTCGAATTTGTCGAATTCTAAACACAGAACACAGAAGTTAGATACACTGTAAGTAAAGGTTTACAGATTTTCTTACTTATTATTAGCTAATCTTAAAATTCTTAATGATATTAAACAATCGAGTCCACTTATTTGTTCAATTTCATTTTCACATAAATCCAACACTACTAAACTTATTAAATGTTCAAGATTGGCAATTTTTGTAATACAATTTTTCTGTAAATTTAATAATTTGATTTGTTCGTCGACTTGCAAATAAGGGCAGGCAAGTAATTGTTGTCTGAATTGAGAATATAAAAAGAAGTTTCATTTCAAATCAATTTCCGGTGTTATTTTAATGATTACCGGAAAAAAAATTTTGAGTTTTGAATAGATAAAACACAAACCTTTTTAAAATAACTTTTCCGGATGTTTGTGATGAATTGTTATTTTCATCTCGTGAACCCAAACCCGGATTAACACCTTGAATACTTATACTAGTATTCTCATTAAACCTTTTGTTCAACATTATATTCTATAGTAGTGCAGATTTTGAACTAAATCATTAAGGCATGAGTAAAAAAATTATTTTTTTTTGAAAATAACATGGTCGTTAAAGTTGCCATGACGTTCCTCTTTCCATTTCTTGGTAAAATAGTACATGTACAGTATGTACGACAATAGAACGATAGACATTTATTTCTTAGAGAATGGAAGAACCATTTTAATAAATCAATAATCTGCGTAGAATCTGTTGATATTTCAAAACAATCTGCGACAGATTCCGGCAGCGCTTGCTTCCATGGCAGAAAACTGAACAGTATCAAATAAAAGTGATTTATTTACTGATTACTTTAAGAATAAAAGGTGAATTTTCTGAAGAAATTTTCTGAATTTTCCTCTCACTTCTGGTTCAAAAAGCAAAATTTTTACAAAAATTTAGTATGATAACCGTGTGACTGGATAGTCCGTAGTGACTTTCTCTCAGAATCCACATTTATTAAATCTTTTAAAAATTTTCTAATGTTTTTCGAAAAGAGTCTTAAGAAAATACGTTTTTTTAGATATGCACAGCGAATTACCCGATTCCATCGTTGTTAAATTGAACGTTTGATTAAACAAGGCATCGAACAACTTTGTACTATATTTGATTCTTAGTAAACACATCAAAATCTACATTATTTCTGTTGGAAGTTTTCGTTTTAGAAAAAAATTAAAATTTCTAGTTTTTAATAAATAAAAGTTTATCCAAAATCAACTATAAGTTTTCCATACAAGCGTCCTTTTTTTTAAAGAAAAAATAAGCACGTTTACCCGCATTTGAATGTCAAGTGACCTTCCCGCTCGGAATATTTGATGTCTTTTATTTGAGAATTGTCCGTTACAATGCATCAGAAGGATGGGACTTAACTTTTTTTATTCGTTAAGATGTACGGCTGAAGATTGTAAGAGCCAGTTCGTGAAGTTTTTGTCTATTTTTCGATAGAAAGAAAAAGTAGGAATGTATCATTGATGTCACTGATTCGTTACTTTCTTTAAGAAAAGTAAATGATTTTATTGACATCTGTTATGAGTAAAACATTTACTCTTTTTAGAGAAAGCAAAGGTAAAGTGACACTCTTAATCTTAGTTTTGGTGTGGTGAAATCGAAGATAGAGGGAGCCTTAAAACACATTCGTTAACATACTTGACCTAGGTGTGTGACAGTTTCAGTACTCATATTCTTGAGAAATTTTTAAAAAGACTAAAACTGGTCAGCGTTCCTCCACGCTTCCACCCATGCACTGGTTATGATTATCATGCGATAACCGTAACTGATCATAATCGTAACTGTAGATAACTGCCCAGATCGCAGGAAATGAGACATAAATGAGACATGTATGGCTCATTTATGATATGAAGTGAAAATGATCATATTATAATCCTAAAATGATTTAAGTATGAGCGTAAAATGATATCATATTTGAGTCATTTTAAGACCATTTCATAAAATGAGATAAAAATGATGTATATATGATCTAATTTGTAAATATGATCTAAATATGATCCTAGTATGATCATCTAAAA